GAATGTATTAATTTCTCACACTTCCCTCCCTCCCTCCATTCTATAGAACGGAAATAAGCATTATGGGGAAGAAGAAAAAATATGCCCAATTATGTGTGACACATGAGGCACTGCATCTACCAGGGAAATTGCAGGCCTACTGCAGGCCTGGCAGAGTTGGATGGGGAAAAAACAACATGAAGAAATAGACAATGCATGTGCTTTTGTAAACGAGGAAAATCTTTAATAAAAATTATTTATATATTTTTTAAAAGACAACATGTGGAAAATGCCTGTGACCTCCCTAGCTTGCATCTTTCCTGCAAGGTGCATAAGTGTACCCTTGATAGCAACTTTGTGGATGCTTTCACTCTTCTAAGGTTGCGGCTTCAGGGTGGGGGGGGGTCATGGTGTTACGAGACAAAGGCAGGTTCTCTTGGCGACATAGCCTCAAGAAGTATGTCAGGAGATCCTTTGATAACTGGGTGCAGGGTTATCAGGCATTCCAGAGCGTTTTCCAGGTGGCCTACTCCAAACGAGACTACTGGCACCTCAGCAACCACATGGGTGCTTTTCCCAAGGCTCAGGTACTGGCTGGGGGGTGCTGTAGCTATTGCCTTTGATGAGGCATTTTGCCAGCAGGCACAGCACAATCAGAATTCATAATGGAACCTCCATAATAACAAGCTCTGACTTGTTCAATCCAAAATATACTCAGAGTCCTTTCTTTCTCAACTCTATTTCTGCCAGATCAGCATATTTCTTAGTGTCTCCATCCATGGTTTCCTTCCCCTTCTCCAACATCATAATTCCCCCATTGGATTGTTTCACTCCTCCAGGAAACATTGTAGAGGTCCTCTCGATTTCATTATCTATTGCTTTACCATTCCATTCTCCAGTTCTGGAAATCCTCCATCAGTATTTTTTCCCAGGTACTCTGTAACCTCTCCAGCCTCAGCTTGTCCCGTACATTTTTATTCACCATTTTATGCATCTCTGCAGTCAGTGAGATGTTTTTCATTATTTTCACCATACTGAGTGCTTTCTTTGAGATCCACACAGTCCTTGCTCATCAAAAGTACATTCCTAACATTCTTCTCCCACAGCAGCACGGCCATGTAGTTTCACATTACAATCAGCAGATTCACCAGTGAGGTGGGGGATCAAAAATAAAGTGAAATAAAATCAAAACAACTCAGAGCTCCTGTTAACTGTTTAGAAACTTTGGAGGTACGTATATTTAAATAATGCTTTTTGTTCTATTTTCTTTTCAGCCCTCTAGTGTCATCTCCTCTTAAGTCCAGCAGTCAGGACTTATTTCAGATGAGCCATTTAACCAGCAGACAGAAAACCTCGGTCATAATTTATAGCAGTTTCAGAAGCAGTTGAAGAAAGGGAGGTTTAGTCAATCTTTGCCCAAGGACTGACCCTCCTAGGGCTATTAAGTGGGGTTTGGACAAGATTGCAGTTCTTCCTCTTCCCAGTCACTCACCCAAACAGCTTCCTTGAAGGTTTGTCAGTCCCAAAGTGAGAGAGCAGCCCTTCCACAGCACTGGAAGTTAATCCCTGTTATCTCTGTTCCTCAGAGATAATATGATAGCTAATGGTTATCATTAATCACCACCTAATGATGTTTGTCAATGGAGTCTCAGGAGGAGATTTCTAATGAGCCGTGATTCCTCCTCAGAAATCTGGCCTGATTTCCACCCAACACTGGTGCCTGTCTAAATTATTTCTGCTGCACTCACAATCCACAAAATGCACCTTTCAGAATCCAATACTGATTATGTCTAAATCCTAAAGAGAAATCTAGTGTGACATCTCTGGAGAAATTGCTCTGCAAAGGAGTGCGGAATGGAGGTGGGAGTCTATCTGTTGTATGAGTTCTTTGATGCCCTTCCATGGAATCACACACTCCCACTCCCCCCCCCCGGGAAGAGCTGTACCCTCCTTTGGACAACAACAATCACAATAGTGATGTATATGTTTCCTGAATCAGCCCATAATTTTGTAGCTCTGAATTTCCTTCACTGAGCCATCACTTGGACTGGCAGGTGAAAAGGTCTCCTACAACTCTCTCATTCCATGACCCCCCGCATCCCGCATCTCAGAGTATCTCTCTTTTTTTTATCCAACACTAATTAAAGTACATGTAAATCTTAATGGGAAAACTAGTGTGCCATCTATTATCTACTGGCGAGAGCCAGTGTGGTGTAGTGGTTAAGAGCAGTAGACTCGTAATCTGGTGAACCGGGTTTGTGTCTCCTCTCCTCCACATGCAGCTGCTGGGTGACCTTGGGCTAGTCACACTTCTTTGAAGTCTCTCAGCCCCACTCACCTCACAGAGTGTTTGTTGGGGGGGGGGAGGAGAATGTTAGCTGCTTTGAGACTCCTTTGGGTAGTGATAAAGCAGGATATCAAATCCAAACTCTTCTTCTTCTTCTTCTTGAGAAGGCACTCTGCTAGGGATGGGGAATGAAGCTGGGTGGGTGAGTTTATCTATTGTCTGAGTTCTCAGATATAAGGTTGACACCTGAAATTCCTCTGAGGCTAAGGGTGCACACATTAAGTCTCCAACCCCATGAATTCCCCTCACACACACCCCATTTGCTGCAAGTCTAAGGTTGTGCCAAATAGCAGCATCTCATCTGTTGGGTGCTTTATCTCAAACATAGGAGCCAACTCCAAGGGGCTGAGGGGCCTTCACCCCCCCCCAATAAAATATATGAGGGGCAGCCCCTCCCAAGTTGATGGCCATTGCCATTCAAATGGTGAGCATGACTGTATCATGTGATTGATTATGCAGGGCAGGGCTTACCTGCCTCCCCCAATTTTTTTCATCAAGTTGGCATTCCTGATCTAAAATAATAAAAAATGTTTTGAACAGAAGACCCTGAAGAGTGTGATTATATGCTGCAATAATTTAGGCAAATGAATTTTCATGCCAATCTTCCCATAGAGATGGGTGAATAAATTGTGGTGGTGTCACAGGACTGCATTTGCCAGCTATGTCCTCATTGGCTCCACCCCAGTCTTCACTCATAGAGGCAAAGGATCTGAAAGAGAGTATTCACTGCAGCTGGGAACCCTGTAAAGTCAGTGCCCTTTGCTGTACAGAGGATTCTTTTCCTTCTAGCTTTTAAAATATTTTATTCATCTGTGAACAAAAAAATTGCAAACATAACAACAAGTAAAGAATAAGAAATTTAAACCATAAAGCATTAGAGCCTGGAACGACAAAAGTACAAAGATGTATTGCGGTTCCAAAGAGATAATCAAGTATTAATTCATACAAGGATCCCCTTTACAAATAATAAAGGTTTATAAAAAATAAATATATACTTCACCTGTTAGATCCATCATTATTAATAATAAATATTTTATTAGTCTTAAATGAGCCAGACATTTGCATACAATGATGGCACTGAGTGACCATGTTCCTCATTTTTTTTATAAGAAATAAAATCAAGACACAAAATAGGGATGGGTAGTCCTTCAAGCTCTGCCTTTTAGATATTTTAGTTTGCGTGTTCAGACCCAGAAACCTCCCTCCTAAATAAATTTACACTTTACTCAAATGTTGGTTTTGGTTTTTAGCAGAATTTAGTCCACAACTTTATTGATTGCAGAAAGTGACTGGTTGCATAAGCTCTGGTTCGACTAGCTCCCTGCCATGCAGGCATCACTGACCCAGAGTTCCAGCATAGGTCAGCCAAGAGGGAACACCTAGATAAACGGAAAGCTGGGAACGGGCTAACTCTGCCACCCAAATGTCCCCCTGGACTCAGGCACGGGCACAACCCCCTCTCAGGGTTTGACCAAACCATCAAGTCCTTGGATTCCTTTAACGGAATATCCTTCACATAGGGATGGTGAGAGCGTTCTCCCATCCCTATCACCTGAACCAGAGCCTATCCACAACCTTACAAGTTGTGATGATATGCTACGCTGCAGGCGAAACCCAAATGGCAACAGCCAATCAGCCAAGTGGGGAAATTTCCTGCCATGCCCCTGTCCCGAAGACAGACAACACATGACGGCATAGCAAGGTCAAGCGCAAAGCCCTAAAAGCAGGGAGAGGTGGGTGGGTGTTCCGAATGCACATGCCAAAAGAGGAAGCTCTTGGTCACGTGCATGGGTATAAATAGGTCCCTCAAACCGTTTGGACTGCGTCCCATTGGCCAGATTGCACCCAGCTATGAGGGACCTACCAATCGGATGTTGTGGCTGACCAACCGTACCCACCCACAACACAGGGTGTCGGTTTTCCAGGTCTCACCACAATACGTGCCCTCTTTAAGGGAGGACCCGATTTCTGAACTATCTTTTCAAGAATGGCCATTTGACAAATTCTTGAATGCCAGCGATAAATAGTATATGGATTTGAAAACAAACAAATAAATGGCATGCTGGATCAGATTTATGAATGAGCACATGCAAAACTGACACAGGATGAAAACAGACTGATACATCTCTAGTTAGGGCACCCTTTAATGGTGCATTTCCCCCCCAATGCAACAATATGATGGGTCATTGTAAGATAATTCAATGCCAGTTCATGGCTGGTTGGGGAGATATAATCTGCAGCCCCAGTCAAAAGTTGTGGGACCTGTCTGGCATGAGGAATTCAACGGTGTTAATGGTGCCTTGCCATTGTTAGGTATGCAGGCTTCCAGAATCACAACAAAATCTAAACCCTGCATTTCAGGCGGAACCTTAAACCCAAGGAGGTTAAATTTCTGTCACAGTTGTTGGATTAACCCCATTTCACCTTCCTATGGTTCATTTTATTCAGTTCTGTAGTCCCAACAGATTACAAAGGGTGGAATACTAGGTTTTGGAAATGTCTCCCCTCTTCTGAGTGACATTATACATGTATATGCTCTGCATCTTTTTAAAAAGCAATCAGTGTTGTTAGTTTCACTAATTTCACTGGTGGATTTTTGAAATTGCAAGTCACAAATCACTTACTCCAAAGTGCTTCTATTGTTTTCAGTTTGTCTCCTCAGTTACAGAAGCATTTAGTTTTGCTGCATTTGGTTTCCTTCCATTGTTCTCTCAGACACAAATTTTCTGAAGGCTTTTGTAAGCGCTTGCTTGAAGTCTCTGTTCCTCAGGCTGTAGATGAAGGGATTGAACATGGGAGTCAGGATGGTGTAGCAAAGAGAAAAGATTTTGTTCAGACCCCTCAGTGTGTCGGTGTTTGGTAACATGTACACTATGATAAGGGTACCATAGAAAATGGTGACCACAATAAGATGAGAGGAGCAGGTAGAAAAAGCTTTCTTCCTGCCACTGTTTGAAGGGATTTTCAAAATGGTGTTGATAATGCAAGCATAGGAGGTCAAGGTCAGTATCAATGGTGGCATGATCCCTGCGAATCCCACCACTGTCATCAAGATTTCTGCCTGCTTGGTTTCACCACAGGAGAGCATTAACAATGGAGTATAATCACAAAAGAAATGGTCGATTTCATTGGGGCCACAGAAATTCAGATGTGATGCACAGAATGCCGTAATTGCAGTAAGTACAGCCCCAATAATCCAAGGAGCAACTGATAACTGAACACATAGTCTTCTGTTCATGAGGGTTACATAATGTAATGGTTTACATATGGCTACATACCTGTCATATGACATCACAGATAAGAGGTAACACTCAGTGCAAGCAAAACAGCCAAAGAAATAGAACTGGAGGAAACACCCGCTAAAAGAAATCCCATAATAGTCACTCAACAAGCTAGCCAAAAGTTTTGGTAGGGTTGTTGAGGTGTAGCAGATCTCTAAAATAGACAGGTTCCCCAGGAAGAAGTACATGGGCTTGTGAAGATGATGGTCAGCGAGGACTGCTGTGGCTATAAGAATGTTTCCAGCAACTGTCACCATGTAGATTGCTAAAAATATAACAAAGAGTGGAGTCTGCAGTTCAGGAAGCGTCTTGAATCCTAGGAGGATAAATTCTGTGACCACTGTTTCATTATCCCTTTCCTTTTTTGTCACAAATTGTTCCATTCTGAGACTAAATAAGTGCTGGAACAGAAAGCACAGATATAAACATTTTGTGAGTGCCGTCTGCTTAACTCCATGAATAGAATATATCTATCTATCTATCTATCTATCTATCTATCTATCTACCAACACCCTCTTGATAAGTCACATGGTGTATAACTTCTTAGTGATGTAGCTATGAAAACTAATCAAATTATTATAAATATTCTATCTCTGTAGCTTGGATTAATAATTCCTTTTAAAAAATATGGAGACTAAGATAACGTAAAATGAATGACGATGTTGAACAAAATCAAAGCATATGTCAGAAGAGTTGGGAAACATAAACTGCCACTGGCAGAAAATATATTCTATCACTCAGAATATATTTTGTGTTGCTGAATTCACTTCTTTCTAGCACTTACATCTGATGACATTAGAAGGCCAACACTATATATAATCTCCATTTTATTTTAGCCAAAGGACTGTGAAGAGCTCCTGAAAACATCATTTGGGTTGATATTACTAATTCATATCATCTTACTGGAAATAGTTTGTCCCCCCCCATCTATTCCCAGATATAAATGATCTGAACCTAAAATCTTAAGAGCCATAGAGAACCACATATATGTATGAGAGACTGGTTATGTTGATACACAAACATAAGGCCATGAGTAAGTCAGATCCTTAATTACAATGAGCATACTCTGAGTAGAACGCAGTTGGATGCAGCCCTATATCCCTTGCCTCATAATGAATGAGAACCCACAGAACATATTTATCAAACCAGTTCCATTAAACATCTCCTCACCATCACTCCTGCTAGACCCATCATTGTGCTACGAAATCAATACAAAATGTGCAGCGGGTCCTGAGAGAGGTCAACACTCCATCTGATTATGACACACACACACACACCTGAAACTACTCCCATCTTTTGCATTCATTTGCAGAGACCTTTTTACCTTGAAACATGCTCTCCCAATCACTGCCTTGACCTCTTCTTTCAAAATATCAGAATAGCTGGATATAGATTCTATGGTACTTCTCCATTTCCTCAAACAAAACATCTGACTACAATACAGGTTTGTGCACAGCATTCCGGTCTATTTAGTTTGATTACATCATGCCATGTTTTATATTTTCTCTAACACAATGTAAGTTCTCTGGGCAATTCAGCCACAGGGAGTTCCAAGCCGATGCTGATTTCACATAACAAAAGGGCAAAGGGGACCTTTTGGTGGGATGAATTTATGTCCTCCACCTCCCTCCCTCCTCCACTCTATAGAATGGAAATAAGCATTATGGTAAACACAGATGAAATTCCCCAAAGAGAAAATGTCAATTTGAAAGATTGCAGCATCTGCTGGGAATGCTGGAGATGTGAATTCTTTAACTGAGCAGGTGCTCGGCTTGGTCAGCCTCTTTGATTCTATAACCCACTCCATATCTGAATATCTTTTGTTTATCCAACATTAATTACATGCAAACCTTAATGAGAAAGATAGTGTACAAACTATTGAGAAGGTATAGCTCAGTCAATAGAGCCTAAAACTCTTAATCTCAGAGCCGTGGGTCCAAGCCCTTGCATTGCAGGCAGCTAGACATCAAATTACAAAAATGAACACTTCCTCCACAAAAAATTACAGGAAATGTGGCAGAAAAAAACCCTTAAAATAATATAGCTAACACAAAGGGAGAGATAGAAAGCAGGGCCAGTCCCATCAACTCTCTTGAGAGACTACCTTCATTGAGCACCTCCTTTCTTGGAATTATTGTAATATCATCTGGCCACCCTACTAACTACTACAGCAATGTGCAGCCCCCAAAAGAACACAGAGTGCCCTGTTCCAACAAGTTTAAATATCAGTTCTTGAACATTCATTGGAGCAATTCCATACAACAAGGTCAACCATAGGCTGGGATTCAAATCACCTGTCTGGAAGAAGCTGAGTCCAAAAAAAAGTATCTAGGTGAAGCCAAGGTCAAAGCACAATAAAGCTGTCCAAAATTAAGTTTATTTCCTAGCAAACAGAGCTTCTGGCAAACAGGAGATCTGCCAAGAGATAGGGAAGATCAGGATACCAGCTTATGGAAACTAAAATACCTACACTTTTCCAGCAGCTATGACATCTGAATTGAGGGCTTATATAAACTGATTTCTCAGACCATATTAGTAGCTGCAAGCACTTAATTCTGCTATTGATTCTTTGACTTGCAAGGAGGTCTTCAATTAGAAGTCATGGAGATTCTTTGGGCTTAGGGGCATGCACTTGTTACAAAGTGGCCACATGAGCCTGAATTTCCAGGCATTTCTGCTCTCTAGGGTTGAATCAATTCAGACTTCCACTCTAATTTAGACAGGGAATCTTCTAGCATTGCTGATATGGGACGCCTTGGAAGCATCCTTCCAAGGCAGTAACTGGAATCTAGTGAAGTATGTCTTCAGGTACTTGGGATCTCATTTGCCCCCGGGTTCTCTGGGCTCTGAGAAGCTTGGGGTATTCAGGCAAGCAAACTGGGATCTGATCTTGGCCTGGCATATGGGGGAATAAACTGTCGTGGGTTCACAGGACTGTGCATGCCAGCAATGTCCGCAGTGAGTCCACCACAATCTCCATGCATTGAGTTGAAAGGGAATTTGACATCTTTCCGCAGGGCCTGCAAGATTTTCGGGCCCAGTCTGACCCCCTTCTTTCCATGAAACCCTGTATGTAAGTGGCCCTCTTGGCTCTTTCCATTGGCCCATATGGGACCAGCACAGGTGACTGGGCCTGGCAAATATTTAATATTCTTACCTTCATGGCTGTGATTCGTGGGTTGGCCACTTAATTTTATTCTGATTTTACTGTGATTTTGAGCTGTATTTTAATCAATTGTTTGATTTTGTGTTATTAATGTATTATATATTTGGTGTTAGCCACCATGAGCCAAGCCTTGGCCGGGGAGGGCAGGGTATAAATAATAAAATTTAGTAGTAGTAGTATTCATACAATCCTCTGAAGAGAACCCTGTGCAGATAGTGCTCTTTGCTGCTCTTAGTGTGTTCACCCAAATGCTTGAAGAATCTCCCTTCAGAATTTCCTGTTCAACATGGGGTGGCCAAGGTAGAATCAGCAGGAATGGGGATGTTGACAATGTGCCTGAGGTACATAGTTTCATGCCCCTTCCACACCTTATTCCCTCACACATACTTTGAGGGTCATGACCCTGGCTCATTCATCAGTTAATTACTTGAACTGCTTGTAACAAGATGGAGATGATGATGGCAGAATAATAATAATAACAACAAAAACAAAAACAATAATAATAATAATAATTTATTTATACCCCGCCCATCTGGCTGGGTTACCTCAGCCACTCTGGGCAGCTTCCAACAAAATAATAAAATGCAGTAGTCCATCAAACATTAAAAGCTTCTCTAAACAGGGCTGCCTTCAGATATCTTCTAAAAGTCTGGTAGTTGTTGTTCTCTTTGACATCTGGTGGGAGGGCGTTCCACAGGGCGGGCACCACTACCAAGAAGGCCCTCTGCCCGGTTCCCTGTAACTTGGCTTCTCGCACTGAAGGAGCCGCCAGAAGGCCCTCGGTGCTGGGCCTCAGTGTCCGGGTAGAATGATGGAGGTGGAGATGCTCCTTCAGGTATATTGGACAAAGGCCGTTTAGGGCTTTAAAGGTCAGCACCAACACTTTGAATTAATTAATCAAACCCTCCAGCTTTTAGTTAAGATTTATTGTTTTAAATGATGGGGACACTGGAAGCTGCCCAAGGATTCCACATGCTAATGGTTTCTAGGCTCTATAGCCATGCAGGCTTCCAAAACATAACAAAATGTCTGCCTTTCAGTCAGAGCCTGAAACCCCAGGGGGTTAAATTTCTGCGACAGTGGTTGTATTAACCCTCTCCTTCTTCCTACAGTTCATTCTCTTCAGTTTTGCTGTCCCAGCAGTCAACTGAATCAATATCTAATGAAATATATGCAGGGAACTTGATAATTCAAATGCAATACTCAAAGCTGATTTCAGCTATTGCATGGAAAGAGCCATCTGAAAGTGAAACTGTGTCCATCAACATCTCTCTACAAAAGACTGCTAAATATGTAAATATCTCTGCTATGGAGTCGAATGAGCAAATGCAGCCATTCTGCATAGAATTTTATGGAGCACTGAGTGTATTTTGCATCTGTTTTATAAGGGTACAATGCTACTACTTTTTAAAAATCCTTCCACCCTTCTAAGTGTCATATAGCTCAGCTGGTACGGCTTGAAACTCTCAATCTCAGGTCATGAGTTCAAGCCCCAGGCTGGGCATAAGATTCCTGCATTGCAAGGGATTGGAGTATCTGACGCTTGTGGTCCCTTCCAACTCTATGATTCTATGCTAATATGCGGACATTCTTTTTTTAAAAAAAAAATTCAATTGCATTTGTTTCTGTAATTATATTGCCACCTTCATTTAAATTAAAAGTCACAAATTACATATGCAAAAGTGTTTCTAGAAGCATTTCGTTAATAATAATAATAATAATAATAATAATAATAATAATAATGAAGCCAGTCTCGCACTTTGTTCTTTAGTTTCTCAAAACTCTGCAGTTTTAGTCTATCTCCAACTTGTTCCAAAATTTCCCAATATTTCGGCCATTTAACCTCCATATTGAGCTTTTTCTGAGCTTTCGCTTCCAATAAATCCTTATATCTTATCCAAACGTTAAACAATGCTTTTCTAACAATATGGTTTTTAAATCCTTTATGCGCCTTGACCTTATCATACCACAAATATGCATGCCATCCAAATACATTGTTAAAACCTTCCAAATCCAAAATGTCTGTGTTTTCGAGAAGTAGCCATTCTTTCAACCAGCAAAAAGCTGCTGATTCATAATAAAGTTTAAAGTCTGGCAGGGCAAATCCACCTCTTTCCTTTGCATCTGTTAATATTTTAAATTTTATTCTAGGCTTCTTGCCCTGCCAGACAAATCTTGAAATATCTCTCTGCCACTTCTTGAAACAGTCCACCTTGT